ATTAAATTTGATTCTTACAGGCATTAAATTTTTTTTATAGTTTTGAAGAGAATTTTATACAAATTTATTTGAATATAGCCTTCATAATTAATAATTTGTATTTTAGGCTTCCGGTTCGGTACGCATACAAACCGAACGATTGCTTGGACCATTTTTCCTGCCAGCAAAATTCGTGCTGACGCGGCCAACACAACGTTGCGCAACATCAAATGGCAAGGGTAATGAAAGCAGAACGAAACAGCGCTACTCGTTATGTGCTTCACGGATCGTTTATCAGTTCGGACCAGCAACATCTATGCAGCGCGAGCCGATCTCGATCAAGCAACACTGTTCTTCTCTCTCGAAAAATGGCGGATTGCAACCAACTTTAAGCAACACTGTTACTTCACAGCGCTAAGAGATCCGGTAAAGAAAACATTTGAATTCGCCACTGAGGTAATAACATCGCTGCAAGATCTAGTGAGAAGCGTTCACATTTCTCCGTTATTAACCGTAGATCTCTATTAGATCAAACAGCGCTGTCATGGAAACCAGGAGAAACATTGTGCCGTGAATGAACTAGTACTTTACGTCCACAGACCAGCAACATTCACCATGGATTTAATATAGTAACACTAACTGGAACCAGTTTGGCTAGAATTGTGAAATGCTTTCAAGTACTTTACACATATTTTTCCAGCACTTCAAAATTCAAATATTATATAAATAAATATATATTTAAATGTTATTTTTAACGTGATGACCAAAACATTATTTGTTCATCCTTCAAAGATGACCCCCATTTATAAACCTGAAAGTTTCAAGATCTAGGAAAACTCACACTTATTTAAAAATATTTTTTCTTTAAACAAATAGGAAATTTCTCTGGCATTTCTTTCTTTTTGCTGTATCGAAAATGTACCGAACCGTGACTTTAAAACCGAGGTACGTACCGAACCGTGATTTTTGTGTATCGTTACACCCCTAATATATATATATCCGTGGTTAGTCATGGGTCGTGTATGGCATTATTTTTTTTTAAATGGCATTAAAAAGGCATTAAAAAGGCATTAAATTTCATTTGAAGATACCTGCAGAAACCCTGTCTATAACACCCACACATTCCTTTCATTCCTTTTCCATCGTCATTTGCACAGGTTCAGATTATATTTAATCATCTTTGTCGAAGGAATCTTGAATAAACCCATGTCTAGACCACTCAGATCATCCAACTACAACTTGAAGGTTTGCTGGTACCTAAATCTGAAAAGTGGCAAACTTTCATTTAAAATCACTGTAGATTAAAAGTTTGGAGTTTGTAAGATTTTGAAATAAGTATCTTCATATTTGACAATATTACTGTTTTGATAGATACAGTCATTTTTACATCACATCACAATTTAAAATACAGTTTTATATTTTACTTCGGTATTTAACTGTTTTTTTTTTCTTTGCATGATTATGTTTATGGGGTGCAATATAACATGTTTTCATGTTTTTTCTTCTTTTAAAAGTCTTATTTTTCATAAATTTCACCTTTATTGTAAGCCGCATTCTCCTCTGTCATTTGAAAGACCGGTTGACTTCCTGAGTCTATGAAACCACTCCTTCAGAAACAGGCAGTGGGCTCAGATTGGTTAGTTTGGGCCAATGTGTTTTGATTGGCTAAACTGAGTAATGCACGTTGTCCGGATACTTAACGCCCATTACCTTTATGGGCGAAAGTTGCGCGTGTGTTCCTGTCAAATGTACATAACGGTTGTTATGTACACACGTTTGTTTCTCCAGTCTTCTTGAGTGTCACATAATAAAACATAACATATGCTGATTCGGTGCTTAAGAAATATTTCATATTATTATCAATGTTGAAAACAGTTGTTGCTTAATATTTTTGTGAAAATCGTAATACTTAAAAAAAAAAAAATCTGGATTTTTAAGAACAGCAGTTTTTGAAATATAAATATTTTACTTACCATAATCTTTTGAGCAGTGTGTGTATATATAGTATATTTATTGAAATAAAGTATTGCTTGCTTTCCTTAATGTTTAATCCAACCTCACATTCCTTTTGTGTTAGGTGGACAAGGACTTCATCCCCGGTCTGATGTATATCCGAGATAATGAGGCATCTGCGGAGGAGTTTGAGGCTATGCCCTTGCCCTTCACTGTGCCCAGTGCATGTGGACAGGAAGTCCAACTCAGCTCCAAATATTCCCACATCACCTTAGAGAACCGAAGCGAATATGTACGGCTAGCAATAAACTACAGGTGTGACTAATTTTAAAGAAAAAAAGTGTTACCAACACATTCCGAGGAAAGAAAGAAAGAAAGAACTGGTATTACTGGTAATGTTGTTTTGTTCTTCCAGGCTGCATGAGTACGATGAGCAGGTGTCGGCAGTAAGGGAAGGTATGGCACGTGTGGTACCGGTGCCTCTCCTCTCTCTCTTTACCGGCTATGAGCTGGAGACCATGGTGAGTGTGTCCTCAACAGAAACGCACACTGAGCAAATATGTCGTCAGGAGTTCTTGTTGGACTTCATGTCACGTGTTTGTGTGTTCTAGGTGTGTGGTAGCCCGGACATCCCCCTGCACCTGCTCAAATCTGTGGCCACGTATAAGGGGGTGGAGCCCACTTCTCCACTGATTCAGTGGTTCTGGGAAGTGATGGAGTCTTTCTCTAATACAGAACGCTCGCTCTTCCTCAGGTTCGTTTGGGGTCGCACGCGCCTCCCGAGGACCATTGCGGACTTCCGTGGACGAGACTTTGTGGTGCAGGTAACTTGTGTCTTTGAAAAGTGCCTAAAAGGGATAGTTTCCCCCTTAAATTAAAATCACCCGTATGTCAATCCAAACCCAAAATGAATTGTATTTATTTATTTAAAAATACCATTCATTTGATATATCAGTATATGTGTGTATGTCGCAGTGGCGTGCCGCCCATATAAGCTCTGAATTCTCTGCATACCTAAGCCATTCATGGACTCGCTGATTAATATTAACACTATAAATGTACTTTTTTGAGGTTTGCCATAAAGCTTACATGATAAAATGTTAGTAATTAGTATGTAAATCTGTCTTTTATTTATTTGCCAAACAACGTAATTTTCTTCAAATCTGATAAGCGGATCCACAACAGCTTTGGCACCTACGCTCTGTTATGTATCGACATCACTGTCTTGCATTCACTTTGGTTTGCTGGCATATAGAGGATTTATTATATTATACTATACGTATTATATAGTATATATTATACGTATTATACTTACATTTCTTCTAATGATATTTTAACTCAACACCTGACTCAACTCAACAGATTTTATGGGTGCTTGTGAAGGCATCAGGTAAATGTTGGCTACTTATAATAAATGGTCAAATATATTAGGAAACTTTTAGCTGTGTAACTATGAGAGTAAGCAACTGAGCAGCTCTGTCTAGAACAAACGCGCTTATTATAAACCCATCCAACGTGCACCAGGTGCAGTTTTGACATAATGCGTCACCCAGCATACCCAGTTAAAAAGTCACAGCTCGCCACTGATATATATATATATATATATATATATATATGGATGCATGTGTGTGTGTGTGTGCGTATTATAAAATATAATTGCTCAATTTTCGCCCTATTTGTCCAGGTTCTGGATAAATACAACCCACCTGACCATTTCCTTCCTGAGTCCTACACCTGCTTCTTCCTGCTCAAGCTGCCACGCTACTCCTGTAAGCTAGTCTTGGAGGAGAAACTCAAATACGCCATTCACTTCTGCAAATCCATTGACACGGATGACTACGCACGGATTGCTTTGAGCGGGGAACCCGCCGCTGATGACAGCAGTGACGACTCTGACAATGAGGATGCGGACTCGTTTGCTTCCGACTCCACGCAGGATTACCTGACAGGACACTGAACTCTTAACCCCTGGTTAAACTCTCTCACAAACACACATACACACAAACACACACACAAACATATGGTGTGGTCTTGAAAATAAGCTGACAAGAAAAAAAAAAAGTTTAAATGAAAACTGAACCGAAGATGTTTGTTTTAACCTCACTTATTAATATGTGCATAGACACAAAAACAACTAAATGAAGAGAAATATGTGTATATCATTATGTGCAATTAGCTTTAAAGCACTATAAGCTGGTGAAAATCAAGATAGAGAGATTTTTTTTTTTTTTTTATTATCTTTGTTGTGAAGAGAACCAGGAAGACCGGAGAAACTACACATCTCTTTGTGTTGTGCTCACGTTTTCTTACAGAGGACAGACCGCTTAGCCTAGCACTGTGGTAGACGACTCCTGACAGGTGTCTCTGTGAAGATCTTCACATCAATTTTGTGTTAAATAGCTAGTATTATGAATTTTAGCTTCGCCTCTTTATTTGGAAACGGCAGTGTTTCTTTAAGAACCTTTTTAACTTGGAGCAGGACACTTTGTGTTTTCATTTGATCAGTGGAAGCCTGGTCAGGGGTTGTTTTTAGTTCGTCGGTCACTGTATTCTCTCCTCCTATATGTGTCTGCACTGTTCTCCTTATGGAATGTATATAATTGGATTGTGCCATGTGTTTATGAGAAATCTCATTCCCGTGTTATAAATAAATGGTAATTTCTGTTAATAAATTTAAACCAAATTTCTCTTGTAAGTTTTTTAAAAAAAACAAACATTTTTGGTTGTTTGTGTTGCGCATTTGAATTGGGGAAAAATGTATACATTTTAAAAACAGAGGAAAAAACATCCTAACTGATAACGATATAATCTCAATTTATCAGTCAAAATATTTGTCAATATATTATTTGAAAAGCACAGATTTTTTTAAAAATGTTAGCATTTGGTGTTTTTATTCCTCACATTTTGATTTATATTATGCCCTATAATCAATACGCAGGCCAATATTAAAAAGATTAGTAACGGTTTAATCTTTTTCTGATATTGAACCCAACCCCCAAAATTTGTCATTTGTAAATGCAAGCCCTCCCTCATGTTACTTGTTTCCAGTTGTGATACTGGATAATAATTTAAGATAATAAAATCATACAAAATACAAATTCTAAAAATGTATTTATCTAATATTTGAAATCCCCAAATATGCAAACAGTTTGTCATTGTTTAAGGTTTAACACGCTTTAGATTCTGTCTACTTTTCTTGTGTGGGATTTCCAGACATTTTAAGACAAATTCCTCAGAAACACTGACGGAGACTCTGATAAAATCAGCATAATGACCTGCGCAACTCATACGGGCTTATGTGTAGAGTGTGAGCACTTCCACCCCTCATAGCTTTCACATTCAGCCAGAGAAAAGTCGAGTGATGTTTACACGTGAGTCGGCTGATCCATCTAACTCCGCATGCATTACTCATGGTTCACAGACTTTGTTGTTAATGGGCCACAGCAGAAAGCTCAGAGGTCAAAGGTTACATTGTAAACCCACCTCCATCTTTTCTACGTCAAAGTGTGAGGAGATGAAAGTATATTAGGTGTGCATGACAGAGAGGAAAGAGTGGGGAAGATTTCTGATGGCTTAATTTGGCTTAGAAAGCAAGAGCATTCTTCACCGTCTTAATGCTTTTTTCTTTTTTTCATAAGCAGGAATCACAGAGTGCATTATTCTGGAATAGGTCAGGTGCTCTACTCATGTCGGGTCGGCTCCAGGCAGCCAGAAGAAATCAACCAAGGACGTAAAACTTCTTCATTTAGAAATTCAGCAGCAAGGTCTGACTTTACTGTACATTATCTCACAAAACATTCAAACAGCATGATCAAATCAAAACACGAAACACGTGTGGTAAATAAATTGTGGATTTTAAAAAAAGAAAAGAAAAGCTTTTTTCACCCTTTTTTTTTTTTTTGAAGGAATTTGCTTCCTGGCTATCAGTCACTGAAGTTTATCATGCCAAAGTTATTCATGCAAAAGAACGAACCATCATATTAAAAGTGTTTATGGCTGTATTTATAACGCAATTTATCGCACACTTCCTGATACTGTATGTGCGCCCTAAGTTCGATTTTTCAGCTCAAATCGTTTCATATATATTTTTCAGCTCATTAATCAAATCAAAATGATGGGCAATATTATAAATCTATGTCTATAAATGAAATGGTTTAGTGCCTTGCCTTGCCTATTTTGCAAAATGCTACCCAGACAGCAACATAGTGTCGGGCCAGATCCAGATGAACCATTACACGCATACAGATGTGGGCCGGATTCGGGCAGACACAATGTTGCTGTCTGGTTGTGTACCTAAAAAATAAAATAAAAAAATAGTAAATGTATGTATGTGTATTATTTATATATATATATATATATATATATATATATATATTAAGGAGACAATTGGTCTCCTTAATATATATTAAGGAGACTAATTGAGTTAAGGAGACAATCTCCTTAACTCTAAACTGAATGTCAGAATAGGAAAGAAAGGGGATGGTTGTTGGTGCCAGACGGCTGGTCTGAGTATTTCATAATCTGCTCAGTTACTGGGATTTCACACACAACCATTTTTAGGATTTACAAAGAATGGTATGAAAAGGGAAAAACATCCAGTATGCAGCAGTTCTGTGGGCGAAAATGTTGATGCTAGAGGTCAGAGGAGAATGGGCCGACTTATTCAAGCTGACAGAAAAGCAACTTTGACTGAAATAACCACTCGTTACAACCGAGGTATATGCAGCAAAGTGTTTTTTGAAGCCACAACACGCACAACCTTGAGGCGGATGGGCTACAACAGTAGACCCCACCGGGTACCACTCATCTCCACTACAAATAGGAAAAAGAGGCTACAGTTTGCAAGAGCTCACAAAAATTGGACAGTTGAAGACTGGAAAAATGTTGCCGATCGATTTCTGTTGAGACATTCAGATGGTAGAGTCAGAATTTGGCGTAAACAGAATGACAACAATGGATCCATCATCTTGTTACCACTGTGCAGGCTGCTGGTGGTGGTGTAATGGTGTGGGGGATGTATTCTTGGCCCACTTTAGGCCCCTTAGTGCCAATTGGGCATCGTTTAAATGCCACGGCCTACCTGTGAATTGTTTCTGACCATGTCCATCCCTTCATGGCCACCATTTACCCATTCTCTGATGGCTACTTCCAGCAGGATAATGCACCTTGTCACAAATCTCGAATCATTTCAAATTGGTTTCTTGAACATGACAATGAGTTCACTGTACTAAAATGGCCCCCACAGTCACCAGATCTCAACCAAATAGAGCATCTTTGGGATGTGGTGGAACCGGAGCTTCGTGCCGTGGATGTGCATCCCACAAATCTATTAATATGGGCCAACATTTCTAAAGAATGCTTTCAGCACCTTGTTGAATCAATGCCGCGTAGAATTAAGGCAGCTCTGAAGGCTCAATGTCTTTATATTGATATATATTTTGTTGTATATTTTGTTTTAATTCATCTTAAAACTGAGGTGTTCCTGTACTCTTCTTGTCGATTCAGTATGTCAAATGTTATGTAAGCACCCACCACTGTAGGACGGCATGTGTGTGGGCGGGCAATTTTTTCATAACTGACTTAGAAGGAATTTTGCGATTAGTGGAGCTGAGACGGCTGGAATACTTTGATGGCTGGGTTTGTTGGATGTTTTATGGGATTTCAATGGCCACATGCTGGATAAATCATACTTGTCTTTACCTCATGTGTGTCTCTTTTCCTCACTATCTGAAGACTCTATTTTATCTCGCAATGTCCAATTATCCACTTCAGTGGGTTTCTCAGTCTCTTCCATTTCTGACATACACTAGTATAGATGGGCTCCCAAGCACGGGACCACTCTGACTTGATGCTACATCCAGGGTTTATTCTTTGAGAACTTTGCAGAAAGTGCTTAAGAAACGTACACTAATCAAAACAGCTGTCTGATTGAAGCAGTCGTTTTTGATTACTCTCAAATCAGTTCCCTCTCTTCAGTCACGCCATCATCAGTGCATGTTCAAATTATAGAAAAGTCCCCTTTACCTTGATGACAGCAGCACTTGAGTATGATCTCAACAAGTGTGCGTAAAACTGGATGATTACAGTATGGTTTGATTACAGATTTTCTTGTTTCATTAGTGACCAATATATATATATATATATATATATATATATATATATATATATATATATATATATTTCATATGTATTTTATATCTATTTTATACCTGAACATTTCTTTTTTTTTTCTTTTGTTGTTCTGCCTAGTTTTTATTTTGCTTAGTTTTTTGTTTGGTTTTGCTTTATTTTGTTTAGTTTTTTTTTTTTTTTTTTTTTTTTTGCTTTTTGTGTTGGCTTTTTTTTAAGCTTAGGTTTTATTTATTTTTTTTTATTTTGCATAGTTTTGGTTTTGCTTAGATCATGTTTTTTTCGGCTTGGTTTTGCTTAATTTTTAATTTGTTTAGATTTTTTTTTTTTTGCTTAGGTTTTTTTTTTTTGCATTGCTTTTTGTTTAGTTTTTTTCCTATGTGGTGTATTTTTTTTTTACCATATTAATGTACATTTAATGCACAAGTGTGCATAATAATCTGTTTGTATATATAAATTCTGTGCAGATGAGTGAAAGACCTCAGACTGTGCGCACTGAGCCAAAATCCAGAATCTACTAGAAGTCACATGAAAGTCTCTCACTCTTCCCTCTTCCCTACAGCGATAAACAGAACTCTTTCCGACCCGTGTGATCACCTCCATGATCACTCAGCTGTCTTCTGCTTTTCTTCTGGCTCCCTTTAAAACATTTTCACATTCATTTTATTTTGAACTGATGAACAATGCAATGTAAGAAAGTGTATCATTTGAGTCCCTGCCTACTGTGCGTGTCAGTTTGCCGCCCCACTACCAGATATTTTAGGTCTTTTCTGCTCTATTACTTCCTTTGATGTATAAATATGATGATGTCATATCATCTCTGAAGTTGAATATCATGGTTAATTTGATACCTCTGACATTGATTTTGCTATCTCTGTGACCCCTGCCATTGATCTGCACAGTATGTCTCATTACTGTAGTGCTAAAAGCTGAGTTGGAAATTCAAATGTTTCATATTTGCTTGTTAAACTGATTCTCATTGTCCTAATCGGTTTATTTTACAGCTTTACAATTGAATTCAGATTGTTCAAGGAAAAATTGATATTGAGACTGCCTTGAGTATGTTGGTATGAACTGGTGTATACGAATCTGGATTGATTCGTAGGTCTTGGGCAGTAAGACGGATGTAAAGTAGGGCAGTGAGATTCCTTCAGCTCTCGCAAGTAGGAGAAGCTTTAAGCAATAACGTCATGCATAAGTTGCTAGCGATTAATATTTGAGTGTGTTTCCGCAAGAAAAAAGTTTATTTAAAACCAGCGTATTGTTTTGGTTTGAAGGGGTGAGTGTTCAGGCATTTGAGGGAAAGTTGGGCATGCCTAAAGCACCAGTTTTAATGAGTGTCCACTTCCATTCTGGGGGGTTTGTGAGAGAGCAAAAAAGGAAAGGAGGGGTCTGTATTCATTCTTTCACTCTCTTCTGTTCTGTCTGTGTGCAGAGTTGTGGGTCACTCCCTCAATCTCCTAGAGGAAGTCTACAACTTCCATTTAAGAGTGCGCCTCTTCCTCCTCCTCCTCCTCCTCCTCCTGAGCTTGTGAAAACCTGCAGCCTGTTTGCGGCACTACTAAGCTAGTCAGACCTGTTTGGACCCACCAGACTTTTTATTTTTGTTTTAATGTTATACTATCATCATCATCATCATCATCATCCATCATCTTGTTGACCACTTCACCATTGACAGGTAAGCAAACATTAATTAATTAATTATAGTTAAAATTATACATGATGGGTGAAATATTTTAAATTAAATTTAAAAAAAGTAAAAAGTTAAACAAAAAGTACCTTCCCAGTAGCAAAAGTACAACAGTGAAGTGAATTCAATTATATTTAGTTTGAACTGTTTGATTTAGGATGTAATTTAAGTGTTGAATATTAATATAGTTTCAGAACATGTCATTTCAACATTATTAAGTGTGGGTTGCAATTTGCATTTTCTATACACACAAAAATAAACGTATTACCATTTTTTTATTCAATTTGAAATGGTCTCCTTTTCACACAGTATTTGTACTGAATGCATTTTTCAATGGATTATAATATTTCTTCCCACACTGAGTGAATGGAGGGAGGGAACAAAGAGGAATGTACAGTAATGTCTGGAGAGCTTAGTGTGTGTTAAGGTTTTTTAAGCAGATTAATATTGCTCTGATTCTCCTGAGGAAAAACCTCAAGTCTTTGCTCTCAATTACAATACAGGCCTGTCTGATTGTCATATTTATCTATCCAAGCTGTGAATCCATTTTTAAATTAGTAAACATTAAAAATGGTCTAAATTAAAATTCTTAAGCACTTGGTTAACAACAAAATTTGACGAAGTTAAAAAAGTTTCAAAAAGAATGACTTTCTAGTAATGTCAATGTCATCTACTTTTCAATCCAGCACCGTCCCACTGTACTCTGAGACTCTCACAGGACGGCACCTTCCATCTCAAAACTGGGGCCAGGCCTGATTTGAATAGGAGTAGAAAGAGAAATAACACTCTACGGCAGATTACAGGTTTCTGCAGGCTGTCTTAACACACTTTAAAGTAAGCACTTTGTATTGACCACTGGCACAAAAGAGCTTGCTTGGTTCAGAGGAAAGGAAATCAAACAAGCACCGGTCACTAGTCATTGGTCACAGGTCACTGATATGCCCAAGCGTCTATTAAGGCAGACCTTGAGCTTTCAACACACAATGACTTTCCTCTGTGTCTGAACTGCAACACACTACTCTTTGGAAAAAAAAGGGCGACCTCTAGTCAATCCAATTACCCTGGGCACTCCAGTTTATCGGCCCCATAACCGTTCCTTAAACATTATTGTTTTGGCTTCTCATTGAGTAGTCGTGCCACTTTTTTGGTGGTTTTTTTTTCTCACTGACCGTGGTTGCTAAAGACTACAAACACTCAGATGGTTGTCTCAAGGACACAATGGCTCTCTTTTTTCTGTAAACGCATCAAAAGGATTGGTCTTATACAGAAATAGCCCTAAAATCTCATAGGCGTGTGAATTGATGTAATTCTCTACAATATAAAAACAAATTTTAAGCTTGATCTGCTGCTATAGAGTTTTTTCAAGAGGTAAAAAAGGGGGCTTTTTGATGTCGTATCCTGCCTGTTCTCACAACCTCCACTTGGTGGAGATGTTTAATAAAGTCAATCTAAAGGGGAAGGGATTTCAGCATTGAATGGGCTCATAGAAAATTTAATTCATGGAATTAGTATGTTGAATTTTATATTCTGGTTAACTGATTTAAATTAGGTAGTGTTATTAGTGAATATTTTGAATTAGGTTTTATTTTTTTTGTATACTTATAGTTTCCATTTTTCATTTTAATTTAGGTTTTAGTAGCTGCACTTTTATGTGATTTTTGTATTTTTAATTGTTTTTTTAAATGTTTATTTAGCTTTAATTATTTTTAGTTAACTTTCAGTTATTTCAACATTGTCGTTTTTTCATTTAATATTTATATTTTATTTTACTTTAAATTATTTTTTAATAGTGTTGAGTTTTTACTTGATACCACCAATTGACCTTAGGGGTGTGTTTAGTTCATCTATAAAACAGTACATTGTCTAAGTATACAAATTTATTTAAGATAAAGGATTTGCAACGATTTTTACATTTCTAAATCTGTGCATATATAAATAAATACACATGTTGTTGATGCTGTCAGTATACGTCCATTTTGTTTGTTTCAGCTCACACATCGTAACATGCAAAAATATGCTTGTAAACATTAAGTATGAAATCTAATTAAATTTTCGCAAATGTAAGTGTAAAAGTGGAGTTACGCAAAACGTAAATGCAAGCTGGGTGGATTGCGCGGGAAATTACATGCGTCACTCACCCCTACCAGAGCCAGGAGTTGCGCGGCATAGACTGCTATAGGAACTTTGGAATGCGGAAGTAACGCGTTTCGTGGACATAGCTACAGTAAAAGTCGTGGAGCAGCCAATAGTTCCAAACACAGCATTGAACCCCATTCATTTTCAGTGTTTCCGAAGTATGCTTGCTGGTAAATGAATGAAATTACTGTATTTTTTTTTTTTTACTTTTACACACATTAGCCGACCTCTCGTGCGTCTAGTCTGTAATTATATGTTATGTAGCCAGTTTTAGTTAATGTTTATTGGAAGATAATAGGTTAATTGCAGCAAAATTTTTCCTTGTCCACAGTCGGTGATGCAGGGAGTCTTGTGATTGGTTTTCAAGCCAGCCAATCAGAATTTAGCAGCCTAATCTCTAATTGGCTGGAATTATAGCATATTGTAACATTGGGTTGTGTTGAGCACGCGAGCCATCTGCGCTTCGAGAGCGCTTACGGCTGGTATGAGAGGAGCAAGAAAGTGAAACTTTGCACATGCGAAAGAGAACATCTGCGGACATCCAAATTTTTATTTTAAATTTATTTTTGTGTGCTCGAAACATTTTCTTATCTGCAAGATGAACGTTTCTCCGCAAAACTCAGTTCACACGCTTGCAAAATGCCCTTCTGCACGCTTAAAATATGATCTTGCGCGTGCAAAATTGTAACTGAAATCTAACCCATATCTCGCCAGCCACTTCTATGTATAATAACTATGCCGCAAATTAGTTAAATTCTCCCGGAATTCTCTAGCGCTCTGTTTGTTTATATAATAATAGTAATATTAAAGCATTTGTCTGTGATGCATTCGTGTGGGTGCCTAAACTGTCAAATATAGGCCTACACAAAAATGTCAAAATGGTAGCTACCCACCGTCCCCACTGAAATCGACGCCTATGCCCTACTTGTGGTTCGTCTGCACAAATAACGATCAACATGCTTGTTTGCTTTCAGCCTCTCAATAAAGCTTAAAGGGTAACTAAACCCCTGGTCAGAGCCTTACTCCACCCACTGGCAATATTTGAAAAATGCTGAAAAAGTGGGCAGACCCCAGCGGAGATAGAGGGGATGAAATAGATGCCAAAACACTCTATCATGATTGTTTTCAATACTCGCAATTCCAAATCCTGACTAGCTACAGTGGTTTTGACGAAACAAGCTGGTCTTTATACTGCCAATGGCGAAGCTCGTGTGGTGAGGTGAAACCTGCATACGTCACGAAGTGCGGAACATCCAATAGGAAAATTCAACTGCAGTAGCCACCGGTCAACCTGAAGAGGGCAGCACTAAGACGTTTTTACACCATACATTATAGAAATAAAACACTTTATACACAAATGTCAAAAAAAGTTACTCGAATCAATGACTGGTATTAATAAAGATCCATTCTTACAGATCATTAACTAAAAAAAGTTGGTTTAGTGTTTAGTTACTCTTTAAAAAAAGACTAAGCATCCGATCTACGTAAGAGCCATAGACATTAAAAGAAGGCCAGAGCGTCCACGAATCTTTCAATGGCGTTGTTGGCAGGTCGGCGGTGCGAAAGCACAGCGAGACTTGAAAATCGCACAGGGACTTGTCTGGCTATACAATGTGACCAGACACTTTAAGGTTTACAATAGTGTTTGTGACATTCACTCTGTGCATTAATACACATTATTCCATATATCTAATGTGTCTTGGTAATCACAATGAGTCCTGATGGGAAAAAAAATAAAATAAGATGGGACAGGCGGATCCTTGAAATGAAATGTTATGCAATGCAGTTATGAATGTCTTAATATTTCTTTCTGTGCAACATTCTACACATGGCTTATAGAAGTCTCTTACATATAAATCATGAATTGTAAGTCTCAAAAGACCTGCTATTAACCACAAATATGACACCTACGCTGCAATAAAAGATCATTTGACCTCAATTTGACCCTTATCCCCCAGTTGTGGTCCAGTGTGCCAGAGTGAAGATGTACCTGGAGAATAAGAGTAATATTGAGGTGGAGATGTCTCAAACCGGAGGCCAGGCTCACTCCAGCAGGGTGGGCAGCAGGAAGTCTGACACTGTGGCTGGCAACTTTGATGAGTTTCGTCTACTAGAGGGGTTCTCTGGGAAAAGAGAGACCCAGAAATTGCAGCAGGCTGCAGCCATGCCCTCGGGACACTGCATGATCTACACCAACGTCCATCAGGAGGATAGGTAGGACACTAGTTCTTGGGGGTTTTGACTTTCATGTAGTCTGAATTCCGTTAAAGGGATAGTACACCCCTAAATACTAATGTAGTATACTGTACATAATTTACTGATTCTAATTGTTCCAAACAGAAATGACTTATTTTCTTCTATGGAACACAAAATACTTTTTCAACTGTTTTTGTTCATTCAGCGAAAGTCATTGAGTTACAAAACAACACTGGATTCCATTGAATTCATTATGGGGTAAAAAAGAATGGAGAAATGTTTCCAATGATAACATTGAAATGCTAACAGAAATGCACTTTTTTGGGGGTGAACTGTCCCTTTAATTGAATTTTAAGGGCTCAGGTTTATCTATGAATTCAAGTCACATAAAAAAGATACATTTAAGCCATCACCACCAGTGTTGGAGAAAGTTACTTTTAGGCCTAATGCATTACAATATTGTGTTACTTCCTAAAAAAGTAACTAATTACGTTACTTAGTCATAGAAAGTAACGTGTCACGTTACTTTTGCATTTTTGAACAAAAGCAAACTAAAGTTCTATTTTTGTCAAATGTAAAAATTTAAATAAGCCTCAGGCTGAAGGAAATGCAAATTCACACTTGCACACTTTCTGCTGTACAGAAGAATAGGAGGCAGAAGATGAAAGTTCAACACTCTTATTTTAGCAATTAAAACATTTATTAATTTTTGCTTATTGGTATTGTTGAATTGGATCATCGAAGTTCAGCAGCGAAAAAACATTGGTTAATAAAGTGAGATTAAATACGTAAAGTATACTGTATTTGTGTAATGTAACATTTAACTTATAATTTGCATAATTTTGCATAATATTCGGAGTTTGCATTTCACTTTAATTAATTTTGAGGAATACAAAATTAGTGTATTTTTGTGAAAATGAGATGAGTAAATATATGCTTACATTTTGTCCACAACACTTTCATAATAACAAGTGGGGAAATTCTGAACATTCTTTGAGCCCAGAGTTTCCAATTTGGGGGCGTGTCAGTGAGAAAATATGATGTGGTAATTTTGTTGAAATCAAATTTGATATAATTGCTTCATTTACTATAAATCTAGCTACAGTATGTTGCATTTGCAATATTGTACAATTACAATAAAATATTACATTTACATTTTCAGCACCTTCAAAAATGGGGAGAAAAAAAAAAAGCAAAAACATACCCGATGCGCATTTTTTATTCACCTTTTAAAAAAAATGATTGCTCTTTGATTTGGTCAAACACATTGTTTGACCAGAAGTAAAGCACAAACAATGTTTTGATAGTGCTACAGTGTTTACACTCTTCAGGGAGATCAGTCTATTGCATATAGTTGTCTATGCACATTAAACTGTGGTAGGAGAAAGCATTTATAGCATATAAAAAAACATGTCACCTTCAAGATATGTTTATAAAGAAACCTCATGCTAGGAAAATCATTCACTTAGCAGATATCCTAATGCAAAATGTGCTTTGCCAATTCATTGTAACATTGCACTTCTACTATTATGACTGTGACATTTAGCTGAACCCATTTGGCATAAAAGGTCCCCAGAACGCGTAGCGAGAGCTTTTCTGTGTGAAACAGCTGCTAATCGACTCTAAAGAGGATTGGTGCTCACGTGTGGAGTCACAATACTGTAGTAACTCGTTGCAAATGTTGTGTATATGTGGGGAAATGTGTGTGAGAGTTTGTACTATAGAATATGGCGATGGGGGTCTTAATCTTAAGATTGTGGTTGTGACACTTTTCGGATTAGACTCTATGGTTTTAGATCAGCCATCATGTGATTAATTGTTAGTCAGGCATGAGATCAGATCTGGTTCCACTCTTGTGACTGCTCTCCTGCAGGATTTTTTTTTTTAAATAACCAGTGCCGTCAATGAAATCAGTTGATCGCACACAATATCACTAAATATGCATTTCAATAGTTGTTTGTTCTCTTCCTCTTTTGGCCTTATGGGAAATATTCCATAATTGATTTAAATACAAAGTTTTGATAGTTGTTTGTTCTCTCTATTTATCTGTTCTATGGGGAATTTGCCATTATTTTTATATAACTATGACAAATTTCAAATAGTACAGAAAAAAATCTCATTTGTTTACTATTTTGTAATATGTGTATCAGTCAGTAAGATATTTTTTGTTTTTGAAAACGTCTTATACTCACCAAGACTGCACTTATTTTCATCAAAATACAGTAAAACATTATATAGTGAGAATATTTAAATTAAGCATTTTTTCAGCAGCCGTTCTTCAATGTCACATTATCCTTCACAAATCATACTAATATACTCAAAAAAACAACAACAATTCTGCTGCTTAGTATTTTTGTGGGTGATGCAATTCCCCCCCCCTGAATTCTTTGACGGATGGAAAGTTCAAAAGAACAGCATTTCATTTTTACTTACATAATGCTTACAGTACATGCAAAGCCATTTAAATAATAATTATGAAAGCATACAATAAAGTTCCATTAACTACATTAGTTAACATGAACTAGCAATGAAAAATACTCTTAAGCATTTGTTTAATCTTAGTTGATATTAATTGCAACATTTACAATACATTATTAAAATTAAGTTATTTTATCTGTCTATATAATTTAACAGACATTTGTAATGCTGTAATTGTTTTTACGTGGAATGAAATCGAGTGTCTCGGATTGCATTAAATTAGACTTGTATTCTAGGCCAGGGTATAGTAGGTGTCCCACAGGGTTATGTACTCCCCCCTCTTTCGTTTCATTCTCATCTGGACCTCACACACTCAGATCCAGGCACAATAAGAGAAGGCTTTACTTCATTTATAAATCCTGCATTCTGTGAGCTAACATTTCAAATCTCCTCTTCGTTGTGTAACTGCAGAGAGAGGGATTAAAGGCCTTGAAATATCCTGTCTAATCTCCCTTTTGCCCAAACTCAACACCGGGATATATCCTGGAGGCCATGGCTATTATGTCTTGTCTGGAGCACACAGGCACACACACACACACATACCCCGTCCCAGCTGTTTGCAGTGAGCTGAGGCATTGGTAGGGGTGGGTGTGTTGTCTGATTCCTCTGTGATGCTGAGCAGCTGAGGTTTGGGATTTGCCCAATGATGCGTTAGAATTGGACTGGGATTGACTCGATAGTCTGGCCTATGCTGAGCGTCATTGATCTATTCTGGCATTTTGCAAAAGCCTCTTCATAACTCTCTCACACACACACACACACAGACAAACTCAGAGCCAATTGAAGAGATAAATGGTCTTTACCCATTTAAACTGTCATTTATACGACAAACAGAGAATTTCCCCCAATTATTAGATTACTGAAGAGGCTCCAGTAATTAGCTTGCAGAATTCCATTGCAGGATTTCCATCTGTTCTGTTCATACAGGCCGAAAAAACTCAACACTACTGGTGTTAATAGCTCAGAACCAATCCTTTCTCTTTCCCCTCTTCTTCTTGAGACTTATATTGATTTAGTATATTAGATGTGAAATGTTTGCTTTATGACTAGTAAATAAAGATATCCTTGTCTGAGGAGGTTGAGAGGATAAAGTGTGATTACCAATTGAAGGAATAACATCAGTGGCTAAAATTATACTGAAATATATTGTTTTGATACTACAGTATGCATGTAATATACCAATATATTTATTTAAAGCCTACTATTTATGATGCTTATATTGCAAAACCATTTAAAAAAATAATGATTGATTCATGTCATATACAGAACAATTTACTTTTAATGCATTTTATTTTGGGAGAAACAATAAAACATTTTACAATGAAGTTCCATTTGGTTCTTAAGCATTTCCTAATCTTAGTTAATGTTAATTTCAACTTTTACTAATCCATTAAAAAAATCAAAAATGTTATGTTTAAATTATTTAACAGAGATGAGTTAACATGAACTAACATTGAACAGTTGTATTAAATAACGTTAACTAATATGAATAAATACTGTAACTATAACTAACAGTGTACAATAGATTCATTAATGCTTTAACTAATGTTAACTAATGAGACCTTATTGTAAAGTGTTACTGTGTTAGTTGTTTAGTGAATAATACTGTATCTTAAACGGATACTCCACTTTTTTTGGAAATAGGCTCGTTTTACGAGTTAAACAGCTGGGTTTTACCGTTTTCGAATGTATTAAACTGATTTTCTGATATTTAGAAGAATATCAGAAACCAGACAGTCTCATTGAGTTCCATAGTATATTTTTTTCTTCTATGGGAGTCAATGAGACTGTCTGGTTACTGATATTCTTCTAAATATCAGAAAATCGGCTGAATGGATTCAAAAACGGTAAAACTCAACTGTGTAAGTCTGGGGGAGTTGTAAAATGAGCCTATTTCTGAAAAAAAGTGGAGTATCCCTTTAAGTCATGTTTTAATGGAAAACAATTGGCAGACCTTTACTGCTATGGAACCTTTGCTCTTGGCCTAAGAGAAATGCAACTTGTCTAAATGTACATATTCCTGTTCAAGACACTATGGACACATACAATATAAAACACTTTAAAATCATGACTCTGTGGCACTGACTTTTGTGAGGGATTCGTGCATTACATGAGTCTGTCACTGGCACAGATAAAGGTAACAAAGCAATTGTTTGATTTATTTCATTGTGCAACTGTGTTTTATAGCATGTAAACCAAGGTCAGAACATTATTTCAGTCCTCAAGGCCTGGACAAGCAGGATGATATTGTCCTTAAACCTGTCATAAGCATCACACTGTATTGCCTCTGTGAATCTGCACAACACCTGATGCCCATCCACCCTGACAAGTTATGAGGTGTCAGTTAAATCATCAAGACAGCCTGCCTACAGACAGTTGTAGGAGGACACAATGGATTAGACTTATACAATTGCTGTGTTAACCTTTTGGACATGTAACTTGTCAGGGTCGTGTACAGACATTTTAAGGGGGCAGGTGTTCAAGTGAGAAAAGGGGCACTAATCTCATTTTAAGATATTTTGGGTCCATGAACTGTTCGTTACCAACAATCTTCAAAATACCGTCTTTTGTGTTCAGTAGAAGAAAGAAATTCATACATTGGGGCAATTTGAGTGTGAGTAAATGATGACATAATTTAAATTTCTAATAAACTATCCCTTTAATGCAGTTTTTGGGCACACATTTAATTGAGAATTGATGCCATTGGGGTAATCTAAAAAATGCACGTATGACTTAGAAAAGGGCACTTATCTAGTCAGAGAGAGAAAGACAGGTGCTTGAGTGCCACTTTGGCTGTGCATGTGCTTTGTTTGCAAATCTAGATTTTTTTGTCATAATCATTTAGCTTAGACCTTGTTTGACACATTAGACCAAGATGTTTGATAATGCTGTAAAGATGACTAAACAGACCAAAAAGAAAGAATGACTTTCAGATCTGCTCAAAGACTTTTAGTTCCATTTAATTTCAGCTGCCAGTTTTTATAGAAGAGTCATTAAAAATGGATGTCAAGAATTGATTTCTAAATGTGGCTGAGATGTTATTTATGACAGACATCATGCTCGGATTGAATAAGTTCTCTCCTTGTTTCCAGGCACAGCTTCAGCATGGTAAACCTCCGGAAAGGCAAATCCAACCAAGCCAACCACACAGAACGGTCACCCCTTCTCACATTCCCCCAAAATGACAGGTGGGACTATGTATATTCACTAGTTGGTTTCACAGCATTTCATTTTTGATTGTTCTTTAGTTCTTGTTTTCTTTTCTGTTTAGCAGTAAGCAAATCAATGTAAAAAAAAAAAAAAAAATCCACTGAAGCTTATATTTCAGAATTAAATAACGCTTTTTTCAAGAAGTCATTTGCAAATATTATATAATGCTTTGACAAGTTCAGAGGTTGATGTGGATTAATTTATAATTATAAATATAAACCAAACTATAGCCTACTTATCAAATCGTAATGGCATTTCTGGATTTTTCAATGCTCATTAATCATCTGTTAAGTGTTAAAGAATATCATATTCTTTTGCAAGTTATTATATAGCATTAACCAGTCATACACAGGGAATTTCTCCAAGAAACTTGCAGATTCTAAAGACCTGTTGACTTGGCTTTAGTCAAAGGAGGCTTTTGCAGAACAGCTGTATGAATGTTACCTGCGGGTCTATAATTACCGACCTTGTACTCATTCAGTAATGAGAAAAAGTGGCTTTGTGACCTTCATTTCCAACAATTACTTTATATATCACCAGGTTGAAGGCAAACAGTTCCTCATATAATGTATGGCATTTTGATATCTTGAAGTGGTCTTGACCTCTATGTACCTTTTAATTATACCAAACACTGCCTGCAGTACTCTATCTGCACTCTCAGTTGTCAGCCTCTATAATAATCGGGAATGATTCCAGCAAATTGAATTTGATACCAGACTGGAAAAATTTGCTTAACCCGTAAGATGTATGTTATTATTAACCATGTTATTTGCATAAGAATCCCCGATTTTCAATTTCAAACATTTTGTACTTTTATATACAAATCAATAGTTTGATGTGGGAAGCAACTATAGTTCTCACTTTCCTTTCAGTCGATAACGTCAGATGTAGTCGATGGTCGACCGAATGGGGATTGCGGCAGAGAGCCAATGTTCTTCGAGTACTATTGAACGAGCCAATGTAATTGGCGTGCGTGAATCGCATCACACACACTCCACCCCAGCGAGCGGGTATAAATACTGAAGTGGATGCACGCACTGGTTGCCTTTCGCTTCAGAGCCGTTCGTATTGATGTCTCTGAAGAGTCCTGTTGATTTCAACGAGCGAGTGTGTCGATGTTCTTTTGGAAAGACTCTTCCAGTCCTGCTGATTTCTACAGTGGAAATTTTTGTGTTTGTGTGTGTGTTGAAGGCTGGTTGAGTGCTTCACTATTTTTCAGTTCTCTGAATTCAGTGTTGATGCGGTCATTCCTGTGTGCTCCAGCACTGGTGATGGGTCCCATTTCTGAAAGAGCAACACGGGTGCGTTTGCGTCTTTTTTAAGATGCCATTCCATCTGTGCGTTTCTGGGTGGCCGTCATAGGGCTCTGTGCCCCTCTGATGGTCTTTGTATCACGTGTTTGGGCTTAAAGCATGCTGAGGCAGCTCTTGTGGATGAGCCATATTCCCATTTCGGGAATGTGACCATCTTGGCGCTAAGGTCGAGACTCGCTTTCGTTCGTGAGAGTGAAAAAAGAGTCCCCATCCCAGGCCCTGCTCTTGTGTCTCTTCTGGTTTATCTTCCCAGAAGAGCTCTGGAATGCCATCTGGGTTGGGTGACCTGAGGATCACAGTGACGGGTAATCCTCCCGGCAAAGCCCCGTGGATCCCACGTGGACTACTTCCGATGTTATCGACTGAAAGGGAATGTCCTGGTTGCATATGCAACCCACCATTCCCTGAAGGAGGGAACTGAGGACGTAGTCCCCTTGCGACTAACGCTGGACCACCGCTGACTCTGGGTTGCGCTCGGCTCCTCAACGGAAAAGTAACTAGTGAGTGCATCCACTTCCATATTTATACCCCCGCGCTGGGGCGGAGTGTGTGTGATGCGATTCACGCACGCCAAATACAGTACATTGGCTTGTTCAATAGTACTCGAAGAACATTGGCTCTCTGACGCGATCCCCATTCAGTCGACCATCGACTACGTCCTCTGTTCCCTCCTTCAGGGAACCGGGAGTTGCATACACAACCAGGACGTTCTTCTATATTTTTGTCATTTTGCTTCCCTTTTTCCTCAGCATGTGTCCTTGATTCACCCATACATAACTACCAGAACTAAAAGTGCTCACTAAAGCCTGTGATTGTTATGTAACAATGTTTGAAGGGGTATAGGCATAAGGATTACACCTGTATTCAATTTTGTTGAGATGTGTAAGATAAGTCTTCTCATTGACAATGACAATTCAAATTGAATCATACGCATGATTTTAATGTTTTTTTTGTTTGTCTATGTAAGGTCAAGTCACCTTTATTTATATAGCGCTTTATACAATAGATTGTTTCAAAGCAGCTTTACAATGATAAAAAGGAAAATAATGATTCTAGATACAAACAGTATTTAATTCTGCTGTAAAGCAGCTCTAAAAAGACCTGTAAACAGCCATTATTCAGATAAATTCAGTTCAGTGTTCAGAATTCAGTACCATTCTATAACTGTGAAGTTCATAAATTATGGAATAAGTTAATCTACAAAGCAGCTCTGGAGAAAACAGTAATGTCATCATTCAGCTCAGTTCAGTTTTCATCCAATAGTGTCCGTGCATTCAAATCAATAATATTGCTGCATATAAAGTGTCCCCAGCTTAGAAAGCCAAAAGGTAACAGTGGCAAGGAACCCTAACTCCATTGGTGAAAATAAACCTTGGGATAGAGAAGAAAACCTTAGGAGAAACCAGGTTCAGTCTCCTCTGGGACCCTTATTGCAGTCTTTCTCAACCATAGGACCCAGTAGGTTTGATTGATTCCCCTATGATTTGAATGATTTCCATAGTCTTGAAAAACATGGATATACTAGGTAAAAAGGTTGAGAATCACTGCTTTATTGCTCGTTTGGCCTATAATATCATGTGGTACCATATTCATATTTATAAAACTTTGTCATGATTCTTAAATTGCAAAGCCATTAAAAAAATAATTTTTAATGTACTTTGTATATTTTAAAAATGAAGTATTGCAGATGTTTAGCTTCTTGCTGTAGTTGAAGTTAAATTAAAATATATTTTATTTAACATTGGCCTAAATAAGTTTTTCACAAATTAGTTTGATATCAAACAGTTGGTGGTCCCCACAGTACCGCCATAGACCTCCGAAATCAAGGAGCCTAGTAAACTGTAGTGTAAATATGGCTGGCTGCTATCTGCTGCCCTTGGTAATACATTTTTCATTCCCTCTGTAAGGCAGTGAGCTGAATGCTAATGCTGCTAGCGATTATATTGTGTTCTCAGTTGGAATAATCTATCTTGCTGGCTATAATCAACACAAAAACCTCTAGTTATGCCTAGGAACTTGTATCCCATCTTAGGATGGATTCTCCAGAACTGTGTAGCATAGGCTAACAGGCTTTTAATACCCATCGTTGATCTTAATTTCTTTTGTGTGGCTGCTATTAGCATTTATATGATTGATCGCTTTCAACCTGCAGAAGTTAATCAGCCTTATGTTTTACTTTGGATTCTGTTAAAAGTTAGCCTAGAGGTAGTGTTTAATTTCTTTGTCTCTTGCGCAATCAAGTGGGACTGCAGAAATAGCTAATGATAGTTTCAAACAGGTTTCCCAGATCAAACTGATTAATTTGACATCTAAACAGATAGTCCCGCCCCAAACACATGAACTATTTGGTTGAGCCAGAAGTTCTGACAGCTCAAACTAACAGAGCAATATTTTGTAAGCACCACAGTGTTTATCCCACTGTTTTTATACTGTTTTGTGCAGTATAACCTACATGACACTGCATGAGCCCAGCCTGGGGTCTGGCGAGGAATCATGGGAGGCGAACTCTGCTGAATTGGAGAGGAGGTGCAGGCTGGGCAGTGAGGTGACCAGTCTTTCTCACACCACATCCATGGAGAAATGTGAACATTACTTCAAACTATCATCCCCCATCAGGTATGGCGCACTAACATACACTAACGCTCAAAGGTTTGGGGTCAGTAAGATTTTTTAAAGATTTTTTTAAAAGAAATTAATCGTTTTATTCAGCAAGGAGGCCTTATATTGATCAAGAGTGACATGCTACTATTTCTACCATTGGTGTTATTATGAACTTTTTCTAATCAAAGAATCCCCACAGAAATGCATTATAGTTTCCTCAAAAATATTAACTGTTTTCAGCATTAATGATAATAAGAAATGTTTCTTAAAGGAATAGTTCACTTTGAAATTAATTTTTGATATGTTTTAGCTTACCTCAAGGGCATCCAAGATGTAGGTGTCTTTGTTTCCACAGAATGTTCATTTTTTATATTTTTAGGTCAAACCGTTCTTGTCTGTCTAACACAGTCTCATCCCAAAAAGTCATATAACTGACGTTTTGGGACGTATTTTGACCATACGTCAATATCCGCCTTTTTAGGGCCCCCTTAAACGTCGCTAGATGGCGATCCCGGGCCTTCATACAACTGACGCTTTACCTTTAACGTCAGGTAGGTGACGGGTTAGGTTTAGGGTTAGGTTTAGGTATGGGGTAGAGTTAGGATCCCATAACCTCATCTACCGACGTTTAAGGGGGCCCTAAAAAGGCGAATATTGACGTATGGTCAAAAGACGTCCCAAAACGTCAGTTATATGACGTCTTGGGATGAGACCGGGTTGGTCTGTCAGTCATATAATGGAGTTTTATGGGTCCTCCTCAAAGAGCAAGTCCAATTGATTTAATGACTCGTAATTGTAAGTACACATTGATGGCCTAAGGCACGAAATGAGCGGTTTATGTGAGAAAACAAACAGTATTTAAATAGATTTTACCTCTTGTAACCACAATCACATCTAAGTGATCTGAAGGCACGGGCGCTTCGGTCTGCACATGCGCTCACTCATTGTTTACACAGAGATTTCGGAAGTTTTACCTTTCACTGTGAAGATAATCTAAAACATATATCAAAAATAAGGTAAGCTAAAACATATCAAAAAATAATTTCAAAGTGAACTATCCCTTTAAGGTCAATTCACACCGCACAGACAAACAAACGCCAACAAACAAGCTGTCAGTTGGATTTAGAATTTTATAAAAAAATAACTGTCATGTTCACACTGCCCCAACAAACAGACACCAACAAACACTGACTGAACACGGGCAGTCGGTTGAAAAACAAAAACCTGACCAACACCAACAGACGCCGAAAGGGGTAACACACTGATGCAAAAAAACCCAACAAACATGCCTGTCTGTGCAGTGTGAATTGGCTTTTAAGGACCAAATCAGCATTTTACAAAGATTTCTGAAGGATCATGTGAACCTAAATTCTGGACAAATGGCTGCTAAAATTCTGCTTTCCCATCACAGGAATAAATTCCATTTTAAAACATATTAATTGAAAATAGTATTTTTTTTATCAAGTAAATGTGTGAGCATAGGACACTTTTTTTTCGAAAACATTTAAAAATCGTACCGACCCCAAATTAACTAAAGTTAAACAAAGTTAGCAAAGGATAAGGCAGAAAATATTAAATGGTTGTGCAAAGCTCTTTTACTGTGGCATTTTAATAAAAAAATCTCCTCTGAAAACAACTGTCTGGGACATTAATTGTGTTTCTGTTGCAAAGTAGATGTCATAACAAATCCCTACATTTGCTTTTACAGATATTGCTTAAGGACAGCAACAATTTTCACCATCTTCATCATTGTTGTTCTCTGTTCAGTAAGTTATACAGACCTGATCAATGTTTTCTTCTCTTATACTGTGTGGAATAATATGCACTTATGATTCTATTACTTGCATAGCTCAGTTTTGTTTGTCTGACTTTATGACAATAACTCTCTTTATTTTGATCATCAGCTCTTTTTCAGCATGTATCCTGACAGGGAGAGCCCCTGGAGGATGCTGGCAGTCTCATCTACTGAGAGCTTCTGTATCCTAGCCATTTGTGTACTTTACTTTAGAGAATCTGCATTGTATGGGTTTGCTGTGACTTGATAAATAAGAATCATTAATGCACAAGTCAAATATTGTGATGATGCATGCCACTGCGCTAACTCCTCAGACCCTGCAGGGATTTTATATTTGGTTCGGAGATTGCACTGAAGGGCTGTTCTAATTCATTTCCGTTTCTGTGACAATCTCACCATCTGCTATTTACAGCGGCCTGTGTCATGGTAACAGTCTTGCCTATGACTTTGTGCATAACAACAGATCTGCCTGATGCGTGCGGCAATCTGTGAGTCCTGCAGAGCTGTAGAGATGAATGTGAAGAGTGAACAATGCACTGAAGTGCTGCAAAGTACCTTCTGCTTGTGGGAGAGGATTGTCTGTCCGAAATGAAACGATGGCCAGCTGACATCTGTTTGCGATGCTCTTCCAAAACACTTAACGCTTGATGGATATTTTGTGTTGTGTATTTTCATTTATATCCATAGTTCGTGGAAGTTTTCCTTAACTGATCACTGTAGCCATGAATCTTACTGATTTTCGTGATAACTCCCTGCTGAAGCTGCAGGTTGGTGGTCCGTTTTTTGGAGAGATGGAGGCAGTACAAGTGGGCCAGGAGTATGTTCTCATCCAAGTGGAGCAGACTGAAGAGGCAGGGCCTCGCCGGAGAAGAGCTCAGCAGGTTAGAGTTGTTTCAACACAGCCGACAGGAACAATTAGGCGCTTTATCGTACCAGCAGAATAAACTATATTAAAATAGTTAAAGACTCAATGTGATGATCTTCACCTGTGGTTACTATAGGCATGTTCCACAATGCATGGCAACTAGACAGTGTCACAATTCTTTCTTCATTTTGAACAACATATCTATTATTTAATCAATTGAAACCCATAAAAAAAAGTTTTATGAAGCATTTAGGTTTAATGTGTATTTATACTTCAGTTTGGATTTTTTTTAAAGCAGCACTGTGCAGGATTTCCGTTTTTGTCAAACTGTGACCCCTAGAGTCGCTATGGAGTACTTGTACTCTTGTAAATAGCACTCACGCAGGGATGTCTCTGGTACCGGTACCTGTTCAGTAGGATGGAAGCTAAGAAGTGGTGTGGCCCCTTTAAGAGCTGCGCCCTGTTGAACTGTCGCAGTCTGTGGATGTATACGGCGCCAGCGAGTCACCCAACATTCAACCCGAAAATAGTCATATAACCATTGCAATAACTCCGAAGCTATTCAGTTAAGGTAAAAAACTGCATAGTGCTGCTTTAAATGACTTTGAAAGAAGTCTCTTATGCTCACCAAGGCTGCATTGATTTAATCAAAAAAGAAAACAATTATTTGTTAAAGTTACTGTTTTCTATTTTATTGTGTTTCAAAATGTCATTTATTCCAGTGATGACACAGGTGAATTTCAGCAGCTACTGTATTACTTTAGTCCACAGTTTCACATGATCCTTCAGAAATCATTCTAATATACATACTGCAATACTAACATAATTTGATGCTCTATAAACATTTCACATAATTATCAATTTTGAAACTGTTGTGCTGCTTAATATTTCTGTTTTCAGGATTCTTTAATGAATAGACATATAATATTATAATATAATATAATGATATTAATGATAAAATAAAAATAAAAATACTTTTGGAGGCTCATTTATGTGAAATACTTTCTTCAATATTTTCTATTTTCAAATATTTTCTTCTCTCAAGTAGTCTTTAGCCTAATAGCCTAAACATTCACATTATAAATGGTAATATCTTTCCAACAGGTGCTTTATAACTGGACTATACCATTGCATTCCCAACGAAGTGACCAAATTCTGAGAACAAGGACATTTGAAATGGTCAGCAGGTACGATTACACATTCCTCATCACATAAGATCTTGACAATTCCACTAATAAACTGGAAAAACCAGGACTAAATGCAAAGAAATTTCATGTTATACAATACACATTATTATATCTGCTGGATATTGCAAATGTAGAATTATCTTGTCATAAAACTGTTAGATTTTAGATTTTAAGTTAATCAGATTTCAAATTGTGCTTAAAGGGATAGTTCACTTTGAAATTAATTGTTGAAATGTTTTAGCTTACCTCAAGGGCATCCAAGATGTAGGTGTCTTTGTTTCTACAGTATTTTCAATTTTGATATTTTTAGCCGTTCTTGTCTGTCAGTCATATAATGGAGGTGTATGGGGTCCTCCTCAAAGAGCGTGCACAGAGAAGTCCAAATTAAACATAATTTAATGACTCGTAAATGTAAGTACACATTGATGGCCTAAGACACGAAACGAGCGGTTTGTGTGAGAAAACGAACAGTATTTATATTGTTTTGACCTCTTATAATCACAGTTACATCCAAGTGATCTGAGGGCGAGGACGCTTCTCTCTGCACAAACGCCGGAAAGCACCGGAAGTGATCTCTCACGAACACTTTGTTTACACAGAGATTTCAGAAGTGTTACCCTTCACTGTGAAGATCTAAACATATTTCCAATGGAAGGAAATTCCAATGGAAGACGTTTTCAATATATATCAACGGACAACATTGATTTTTTTTTTCTTTTCGCAACCGTGCAAGAGATCACTTCCAGGGCTTTCCGGTGCGCTTGCGCAGATTGAAGTACCCTTGCCTTCAGATCACTTGGACGTGGCTGTGGTTACAAGAGGTAAAAACGATATAAATACTGTTCGTTTTCTCACACAAACCGTTCGTTTCGTGTCTTAGGCCATCAATGTGTACTTACATTTACGAGTCATAAAATCATCTTTAATTTGGACTTCTATGTGCATGCTCTTTGAGGTGGACCCCATAACCCTCCATTATATGATTGACAAACAAGAACGGTTTGACCTAAAAATATCAAAATTTAAAAAAATACTGTGGAAACAAAGACACCTATATCTTGGATGCCCTTGAGGTAAGCTAAAATTTCAAATTAACAAATCAAAAATTAATTTCAAAGTGAACTATCCCTTTAAAGTTCAGTTAAGGTGATGATGTGATAATATGGGTTTTGTTGTAGTTCCTGTCATGGAATGTGCTTTAATGTGTATCCACATCTGTAATCTGTTTTTCTCTTCCCCTCAAGCGCTCCTATTCTGATCAGTGTGCAGGCCTTTCTCTTAGACAGTCAGGTGGTCCCTCTGTCCATGACTCACCAGTCGCTCTATGTAACCGTGGAAACACAGGTGCTTATCGCTGGATTGATCCTGGCAGGAGTCTATGTGCTGATCATCTTTGAGGTAAAATATGTGGAATCGGCGTGAAGACATTATTTTTTACACTGCAAGATGATCCATTCAATGATATTTCATGACTCATCCCATATTTCATCCCCTTAAACAAGCTCATCTCGGCTGTTTAGCCACTGAGATTTTTGTGTACATTTTATGTCTGTAGCCTTTTGTCACTGTTGAAAAGTAAATGTCACGGTGGGTAAAAGTTGTGCCTTCAGATCCAGCACTGAACTGAAATTATCAGTGGCTATTCATAAACTTGCGTTTTTATTTGTACTGCTGTTGAGCACTAGAGGTCACTGGGCTCTACTAAAGTTAACAGGAAGTGGTTTCTACTGGCCCACACAAACTGATTCCACAGAAGCATGTTGGATTTTTGGAACATCTGAAACTGAATTATGAATCGAAAAGTGGATTTTGCTGTTCATATTTTATTGGAACATCAAATTGAATTAGTCCAAATGTCAGAAACCCTTTTTTATGTTTAATTTTAACTTAAAAAATGTGCCTTTTCTGAGGTAAAGTAGAGAATTCTGCATTATTTTTAGGCCACTAATTGGTCAAGTATGTTTTGTTGATCCTGAAACAACATTCTTGTCCGGAAATTATAACTTATACCTAAAAGCAGAAAGAAATAATATGTGATGTAGAAGCACCTTACCCTGGCTGTAAGCCTAATCTTGACATAAACTGTAAACTTGTCCCTCAAATTTGATTGGTTGATTAGAACGTTGTTCCAGGAACATGTTAGACTTGGTGAAATAAACCAAATAAGCAATTCAAGTCAGTTACTATGTCGAAAATGTCAGATGTCCCTTGCTTCTATTGAAGCACGAAAATGCATACTTCAAATCAAACTTGTGGAGTTCATGCAGCTTGAGTGCTGCTGTCAATCAGAGGGATATTATGAATACTAGGACATTCAGGCATGCACTCAAATGCTGATAATTTAATTCATTTTAAAATCATATAAAATAGAAGAATTTTCACTTGCGGTCTCTTTTGGACCTTATTGTAGTAGTAGAACTCAATTTTCTGGTCTCTTTCACTCCTGATGTCTGAAATGGCCTGCTCTCATTTAAAATGAATCATTTGCCTTTTTTTATTTTTTGGTCACTATATATCTCTTTTTGTGTGAACAGCTCTTAAGAGATCTAGATTATTACAAAGCCTCACAGCAAAACACTTCTCCACTCTTTTAACTTGCTCTTCTCCCTGTAGTGCACACTTTTTAGAGTTTGTGAGAGAGCGTTTTAGTGTGGCTCCAGGGGGACATGAGGGCAGAGGGGACCTTCCTTCTTAATTACTTTTATTTCTTCAGGAGGGGACATGCTGTGTGTTGAAGAGTTTAATTAGGCCTTTGTGAGAGCGCTAATGGAGACTTTGGGGGGCCCATGTTTCCGCTTTTACCGAAACACTACGTTATACTAATGCTTCATAAATACGGCTACCTATCATCGTCGTCAAGGTGCTAAGAAAATATTTGCTAATGAAATTATTACATTTTATGCTGTTTAGGTGAGTCATAATTTTATTTACTATAAAACAGGGTTACTTGGGTAACAATACCTCTTTACCAAATACCTCATCCCAATTAACATCTTTGAGAACAGATAATAGGTGAAGTTCAGTTCATCAGACTATATAATATAATATAATTTATAATATAATATAATATAATATAATATAATATAATATATTATATTATATTACTAATATCCAAGTATCCATGTCTTGTAAAGGATTTTTATGTTGAAGATCAGTTTCTGTTCCTATTGTTTCCATGTTAACTTCCTTTGTTTAGTTCATGTTTACCTTGTTTGTTTTCATAGGTACTCCAATTTATGAGGAGCCGTACTTGACAAAATCTATTCTTCTACTGTCACACTCATACATTATCCTTTTACATATATACATTTCTACTCTCACATTCACATTCATTCTCCTCTCACATACATACATTTCTACTCTAACACTCATAATAGTGATAGGCACACACACAAATAAGTAATAGGCACACCCATTTTTTTAATGTATATAACACATATACATTATTCTTTTACATACATATATTTTTTTCAGACACATACATTTTCTTTTTACATACATTTATTATTTATAATATTAAATGTATACTTTGAATACATTTGCATAAGAGTAAAATGTATATGTGAAAGGAGAATGTATGGGTGTGAGAGCAGAAATGTATTTATGTGAAAGGAGAATGTTTCTGTGTGAGAGTAGAGGAATGAATTTTGGCTTGTACGGCCCCTCAAACTAATTTGTTTCCATTACTACTAATCACCTACACCTGTACCTCGTTAGCCTTTGTGTATTTATTCCCCTTGTGTTTATTGTGGAGTCTTGATGTAACAGTTACAGTACATAAAAGTCCTTTGCACAACAAGGGACCACAAGACTGGGGTTATGACAATTATTATTATATTGTATTATATTATTAATAATTATTGTGTTAAACTTATCAGGCATGATTTGAGATCTTCAAAACAAAAGAGAGTCTTGTGATTCAATGGAAGCAATAATATCTGCCATCATCATGTTCTCATGGTCAGTGTCACAAATCTGCGAGTTTGATTAGTGATGAAGTATTCGTGCAGAATCGTACATATTTCTTGTTCGTTTTATGTCATAAGAGTTCTTGGTTATTTTTTTTTAACTCTAAAACTTAGTTATTTCCAAGTTAGTATAGATTTGATTTGCATTAGCGATTCCATAGAAGTTTGTGTTCTCAGACTTTAGGACCCCATTGTAAATAAGGAAGCATTTGTTGTATTGACCCGGGCCTTTTCTTCCTATCTGCATTGCACAGCAGCTTGTTGATAATCCTCAGAGCTGATCTAGAATCAGCACTCTGAAAACTACTTTGATTAAAAGGGCTCAGATGGTGAGTTTCATCAGCAGCTCTGATAGCTAAAACTAATTTGCCCCAAGAGAGGGCAAAACCTGAAATCTGAGATACATAGTAGTATAATGTGCTTATAAATATTAATATGCCTTAAACAATTCATGAAAAATGTAATTTTACAATATAATTGCAGATATCTGGTAAACATTTTAATAATGGCTGATGGATTATTCGTACACTAGAGCAGCAGTTTCTCAGTAAACGGGGGGCTTTGGGTATAAAACTAACATTACATCTCACACAGGCACATTCTGACATTTAATTTAGCCATAAACTGTTTCTTGGCCTATAATTAAGAGTAATGGTTTAAATCACAAAATAGAGAAGCATTAGTCTCAGAGGAAACTTTCTTATGCAAAGCAACACAATGCATATCCATGTTGCTGATTAATTCTGCTCAGAAAGCAGTGTTCAACAATTTATCTTAATGACTGGTTTTAGACTTACAATCACAACATTGCACCAAGTGTTCTTCCCCCTCAGGGAAGTTGTTGGACTGACACAGATTACTTGCTCCTTGGAGACTGGAGTCATTAGCAGTTAGCCTGCATGTTATGTACTCATCGTCGTTCTTTCGCTCTTCTAGCTGATTACACAGTCTTGTAATGACTGCTCCTTCTTGCCACATGACACTGAAAGAGGTGCATCAGACAAAGCTTGATTCAGGTGTCCCAGTCAAGTGCTCTCACCAAGAAAGGAGATGCTGAAATCTGACAAAGTACTTTAAGGCGGTGCTTTTCCAAGGGGTGATTGAAGAGCAGAAAATCAGAAGATGCTGTCGCCCGACACATATCGTTGTGGATCAGAATTTATCGTTTGATTATAAGAGTTCACAACAGGGTCAGAATGCCTTTAATGTAAGGAATGAGGTGGATCAAACAGCAAAAGAACATACATGAAGTGTGTGGAAAAGGGTTATTTGGCATTTTGAATCAGCAAATTTGTTTGGCTGTCCAAAGTCTTGTGTATTACATATTTAATAGTGTTTGCCAGGCATCTTTATAACGGTTGCTGATGTGGAGGGTTAGGGATTTGAACAAACACCTAATCTCAAGTACTACAATTTTGTGCTATGGGTGAAAATGATACCTCATATCATGCAGCTTGTTTAAATGAGTTGTGCTATTACTTTTCTAAGCAATCAGGCATGATTTTTGCCTGGCGGGTGATAACACTGCAAGAAAACATCTCATGTTGAAGGAGAACATAATTGAGAGACTTTGAGGTGAAATCTTTGAACATCCTGGCAACCAGAACATGTTAAAAAACAACATGCATAACATGCTTAAAAGCAACCACTCTAGGATTGTGCTTAGGCTAGTATAAATCTATTTTGTGGTACATTGTGGCTGTTAGTATATGACCAATATAGCAAAAAAAAAAAAAAAAAGCTGCTGAGATATTACCGTGATGATTTATTTCCCCCTCTACCTTTATTTATTTATTTTGTTTTTCGTGTTCCCAGGTTGTCCACCGCACTCTGGCTGCAATGTTAGGATCCCTGGCCGCTCTGACAGCGCTGGCTTTCATTGGAGATGTAAGTTTGGTTTTAGAGAATGCTATTTATTCCATTCTGATGAAGATAGATAGATAGATAGATAGATAGATAGATAGATAGATAGATAGATAGATAGATAGATAGATAGATAGATAGATAGATAGATAGATAGATAGATAGATAGATAGATAGATAGATAGATAGATAGATAGATAGATAGATAGATAGATAGATAGATAGATAGATAGATAGATAGATAGATAGATAGATAGATAGATAGATAGATAGATAGATAGATAGATAGATAGATAGATAGATAGATAGATAGATAGATCGATCGATCGATCTAATCAGTGCGATTTACTGCAATGTCAGAACCAGAACAAAAGTGGATGTTACTTACTTGTTCAGATGATATTTTCCATTATGATATTGGTCATACAAACACATACATTTTCAATTTTATATATGTTATATACATTATTACATTGTACATTATGTGCATTGTTGCATGATGTGCAACTTAAAAAAGTGTTAGTACTGCCTTTAAATTTAAAGTTTAGTCAACTTGATTTGTGTTATCGCAAGTGAAATTCAGAAAAGTCATTCTAATGCAAAATTGTAAGTTGTGATGACTTATAGCTACAATCATTTTTTTATTGTAATGGAAGCAATTATTTCAACAATTCACTGTAAGTTTGGAATGTTAAAATGCTCCGTTGTATCCATTCCATTGTCTCTTTACTGTAGAGGCCGAGTCTGATGACTGTTGTGGAATGGATTGACTATGAGACGCTTGCCTTTCTGTTTGGAATGGTAAGTCTAATTTTAACAGGTGAACTGTAAAAAAAAATATTTTCAAGATTCACAATATTTTTTCTTTTGTCAAATCAACTTAAATAATTTATTTAGTTCAGATAACTTCTTATTTTAACTTTCTGATGATTAAATCAATCTCCTACATTGTATTAACTCAAGTTTTCCAGTTCAATCAACTTAAAATTTTAAGGCAACCAGGTTACTTAATTTTTTAAGTTAAACCAACAATATTTTTTTCACAGTGTAGGAGCTCTCTTGCGGCTTTTTTACTCAATCATCTTGAGTAGCAGGGTTCCAACAGAATGTATTAAATATAAAGTCACAGAGGGGCTTTTTTAAATGAAAAAAGTAAAAAGATAAAATGTATTTATGAACAACGCATTCTCATCCCAAGGTGTCATCTAACTAACTCTTTTGACCGTGCTTCAACATCCGACGCTTTAGGCACCCTTTAGTGTCAGTTAGATGACGCTATACTGGGCGTCATCTAACTGACGCTTTACCTTTAGCGTCAGTTAGATGACACTGGTAGGTTTAAGTTTGTAGTAGGGTTAGGGTTAGACCACTAGGAAAGTGTCATCTAACTGACGCTAAAGGGTGTCTAAAGCATCAGTTAGATTGATGCCTTGAGATGAGAACGGGCTGTCATTAATGGTGCGTGCTATTTTATCACAATTACTGTTGTTAATCGTGCCTTGAAGTTTGGCATGCAAATTAGTGCACCGCTTCTGCTATGAACATGAATGAAATGGGTTACCCCATAGCATTAGAACTTGGAAAGATGTCCCGCTAAGTGCTTGACAGGTTGATAAGCCCCTAATCCAACCCCTAACCAAAACCCATATCAGCCTTTCAAGCTGGTCAATCTGACAGGCACTTAGTGGGGCACCTTTCATTAATGTGCTGTTAACCTAGAGCTTATTTTAGAAAGAATTCTTTAGGGCTCCGAGATCATTTATGGTGATTCTTTGCATTGAACTTACAGTACTTTGCAGCAGCAGAGCACAAGGTTGAAATGTCCATAATTTACATGGTAGTGCAACAAAATGTGATCAAAAAATACGAATACACATTTAAAACACAGCCTCTCTAATATTATTGCTAAAGTGCCACCCTTTTCAAGATCTCTGTTTGTTCAGCTGCTGTCTCCATGGAAACAAATACGTTCAATCAGCCTTCATCCAAAAGACTACATGTAGGGTATGTGAGGAAAGGCATAAAAGAAAATCAGAGACTGATGATCGAAAATGAATCACAGCATCTGTCAATTTTAAAGACTGGCTATGAAACGTGAGCTTTAATAAACTATTAATGTTTCTCTTTATTGATTTCCTAGTTTTGAAGGATGTCTGTTTCTCTATCCGAGGTGCCAAACAAATAAATAAATAAAAAATCAGAGAAGGATATATGTGGCATGAAATTGAGTGAGAGACCGTGCATGTGGTATTTGAGACATAATGTGATTTTATAGCAACACATGTGGCAGTAAGCACTAAAAATAGAAAGCATGAAATGTTCAAGTCTCATAACCCTTACTATTTACTTTCAGATGATACTGGTGGCTATATTCTCCGAGACAGGTTTCTTTGATTACTGTGCAGTCAAGGTGAGTTTTCTCAATATTAAATACTTCTTTGTGATTTGTTTTGCAGACGTCTGTTTAAAGCTCCAGTCCGTAACTTTTTGGGGTTTTTGAGCAAATACAGAACCAGCCAGTGTTCAAAACTACTTGCTTGCCTTAGCTCTATTCAAAGCCGTAAGCTTGTAATAATGTTTTTAATTCCAGTGGTGCTGGTGGATTTCCATGTGAAATTCGAGCATGTCTTAACATCATTACGTCACATCTGTACATACAAAGGAGTCTCGGCTAGTAGGCTTTATTGTGTGTGAGGATGTTGGAGGTGGAGATTTATAGCCTTTTGGACTGAGAGTTTAGAAAAAGAGACTGCAACCGGGATGTTGTTCTCCACGGAGTTGTCATGACAGAACTCATGTTGACAAATGAGAACTTATGGTAAAGTGTTACCAAAATAACTAATGGTTGCTGCAAGTGGTCTGCTGTCTGATATGATTTTATTTCACATTATTGATATCTGTTTTAGTCAATGTAATTCCATCATGGTACTTTACCCAGTTAGCTTTAAGGCAAAGTAAAGAAGCAGCTGGCCTGAAAATCCTTATCATTCACTCTCAAGCAAAGTGACAAGAACCCCACAAATGCTTTATACTGTATATGAAATTTATGGGTGAATATCAAGCCCCAATAGAGATGTGAAAACAAATCAGATGGAACAAATCTTTGTCAAATGATGCAAATGTTTATAAAGCGTGAAGATAATGGGTTAGAAGTAATGAAAGCCTAAAAATAAATCTTACGAGGAGCTTCATTGGATGGATATCTCATCCCTTATTTTCAGGAATTCTCTGGACTGCTGTAAAAGCCCTGTTGTAACGTTATGGATGTGCTGTGGATATTATGAGGGCACACGTGTATGTCCTCTCATCCCATTCATGAATATTAACAGGGTTCTGGACAAGGGCATGTCCTCAAATTAAAAACATTGCCATAGAAACAACCCTCTCTATTGAACACCATCTCACACTTCTTCTATTAGCATGTCTAGTCATATGTGGCTGTGTTACTCTTTGGCTGTGTCCAAAATCGCCCCCCATACCCTCAAATAGGACACTTTTTGAGGGGACAGCCATTTGTAGAGTTGTCCGAAACCATAGTGAACATTATTGAGTGCACTCATTCAATCCCACAATGCACCACAATAAAGAGCGTACAACCAATGAATGCTCAGCGGCTAGCAATTACCCATCATGCACTGTGAGAGTCGCGCGTTAAATGAATTCCTGCGTCTGACCCAAAGATGGCGCCCACAGCTGAATAATTTTAACAAACCTCTGGTTCAAAGTGACTAAAGCGTAAAATTGATTATTAAATTGCTGCCAGTTTGTTATATTTCAAATGATTAAAATTGACAGAAAAATCACAGAAAGCACAAGTTATGCAATAGTTGCAACGGTAACACTTTACAATACGGGTGCACTAATAAGCATTAATTCATTCTTAACTAATGCACAAATAATACTGGATTAATGTGTAACTAATGATTATTTAAGCTATTTATCAATGATTACCACATTAGGAACTAATTAAGAGTCTGTAAGTTTAATGTATTAGTTCATACATGAATTGTTATTAATTAAATATGTAGTTGTGGATTAATTCCATAAAAACTCATTTTTTAACTATTATTATTACAAATTATTACTATACTTACTAGAATGAATATGTTAATTACCAGAATGAGCCAAAGACTTTGTATTTCAACTTCCAGATAATATGACAGGTACACTAATATGCATGATTAATACATGATTAATTACTTCATTGTTACTGCAAATTCATGTGCAAATTACTAATTACTAAATGACTAGTTAATAATGATGTGCCCCAACAAGTAAAGTCATAACATAATGATACCTTTGCAAATCATTAGCTAATGATTAATTAAAGCAGACAACTGGAAGTTGAAGTGCATAGCTTTGACTAATTGTGGTAATTAACACATTAATTTACACTATTAGTTCATAAAATATGTTATTAAGGAATTATTACACAATGACACATTGAATTAATAGCAATTCATGTAATACTAAATATATTAATCATATAGACTCTTTATTAGTTGCTGCTGCAGTAATCATTAATTAATGGTTTAGTTCTTCATATTATCTGTGCATTAGTTAAGCATGAATTAATGTATATTAGTGCACCCGTATTGTATGTAAAGTGTTACCGTTGCAACCCTTTCGGGAGACTTATTTTTATTCTCTCCTTCAAGTGGACTATATTAGTGGAGTAATGTGGAGAATAGTAAATGGGGGGCGAGCATTTGATTTGTTTTTTTGTTTTGTTTTTGTCAGTTACCATTGTTTTGAGTCAGAAAGTGATGACATTACAGGTGGGTTACAATCCCCTGGTGTTACCACTTGATTAGAATGATTCCAGACAGCCTGATAATGTGTCTCCATAGTGACAGGCTCTTAAAGTACAGGTCTTTTTTTATTACTCTTATTATTCTTTTCTTTTCAGACTTCTTTTTAATGCTATTGGATAAGCAAACACACTATGGATCATTGTCAGTTTTTAGAGTGAATTCCTCATTAAATTTCACTTTTGAACATTGTGTTCTGAGACCCCCTCAGAGGACTGTATTTCATTCTCTGTCTTTGAGGCGCTGTTAAGTCTGTCTCTTCTTCCCACTGGAGGATTTTTGGAAAACATGATTTTGTTAATGTTCATAAATAAAGGCAAGCGATTTTATGCTTAGTTTGTTTTTGACCCAGTTAGTTTTCATTAATGTAAAGTAACAAGAAAAGATCTAACTTTTTTAAACCAATCTTTAAGGTATTCCCAACAGTGTTCTTTGTCTCCATACAGGCGTATCAGTTATCGCGAGGAAGAGTGTGGCCCATGATTATCATTCTCTGTCTAATTGCGGCTGTTCTGTCAGCCTTTCTTGATAATGTGACAACTATGATGCTCTTCACCCCTGTTACAATCAGGTAAAAAAAATCTCTATTTCTCCTTTGATTTCTTTTTAAAACCCGGTTTAGTAATGTGCTTACAATATAACAATAAGTCTGTACGGCAAGCAATTGCACACAATTGCAATTCTGGAGGTTTTCCAAAGTCTAACAAAATGTTGTATTTTAATTCCGGAGATTTTCCGAAAGCCCGGCCTCATAAACTTTCAGTGCTTTGCTGTACACATGACTTTTATTTTTACAAGCTGAGGAACAAACTCAAATTATTTTCTTGGTAATTGACAGCATGCCACAGATGCTGACAATAGAGTTAAGCTTGCATTGATGCTGGAACATTTCTTTAAAAGCAGTCTGTTCAGCTGAACTACTTCTAAAAAAAAAAAGAAAAATCCCACAAGGCCGTGGCTTTTTTTCTACACAATAATTTATTGTCAGTCTGCTTAGTATTATATAGAGTATATAAAGAGACATGTCTCCGTGCTATAAACTTCCCACCTCATTGCTCGCTTCAGCTCCATTTGAGCTTATTTTCACCTTCCTTCCCACCTTACACATAGTTTCTGAGTGTGATTCATCGGTGCCTGCACGTGCACATCATATTTGTGTTCACAAGTCTTTTATATGTTTTATATCCTGATGTACAGCGTTATTTACTTGGTGTCATTTAGGACACCCTTTTCCTCCAGAGGACGTGATATGAATCATTTAGGCACAGTGTAAAATGGTTTCATGTCCTACTGAAAAAAAAAGACCAACAAACCAAAAGTTTTTTTTGAGCAAGGATACTTTTTTCATAATTTTGTATTTTTCATCCCTCTGTAAATTTCATCTGTCAAATTTTTATTATCTAGGCGGATGTTGACGTATGGTCAAAAGACGTCCCAAGACGTCAGTTATATGACGTCTTGGGATGAGACTGCGCTCACTAGTCTGGTAGAATAAAATAAATCTATATTTCACCCAGCCATTAAAACATTATGCGCTGCCTCAGCGTTTTCATGACATTGCTTGTGAGAAATGTCTCCTTTTTTTTGGATTATGCATCACCAATTGCATCTTTAAACACCTTCAGGGCTTTAGGGTTTAGAAACACAGGACACACACACAACAAAAAAAAAACAAATTTGAGAAAGTACAGAGTTCAGCTTTTTGTTAACAGGCAATTTGCTTGTGCAAGTATTTTTTTTCATGACGATTTAGCAGGGAAACTGATTTGCTAATCTTAAGATTTGCTTTGAAATTCAGTGTTAATAACTAAACAATTTTTTTTGCACTGATGATGATGAATCAGGCCCTTCCCTCTCCATACATTATGGTACAATTACAAATATGGAATAAGTAAAATGAGCATGTGTTCTTTTGGTCTTCATGCTAGGCCATTGTGATTATGTGATTGCTTAGTTGATCTGTATGTTTTTTTAGTCTGTTGCTATGGTCTTCTGGGTGGTTGCTACAGACCCAAATCAATCCAATCACCTAGTCTCAATTATATTCAATAAGTCTGTGGGATTGTTTTGCATGTTTTATGGCACAAATTAAAAAAGTATGATAGATTAAAAAAAAAATTGCATTGACGTTCTTGGATAATCAGTGCTAATCAGGTTTTTTTGATGCCTTTGTATACGCTAGGTTATGTGAGGTGCTTAATCTGGACCCTAGGCATGTCCTGATTGCCGAGGTAATCTTCACCAACATCGGAGGAGCTGCCACTGCTGTTGGAGATCCCCCAAATGTCATCATCGTCTCCAACCAGGATCTGCGTAAAAAAGTATGTAATTATTTCTCACCATTCCCACTTGATGCTGGGTCATTCACAGGTGAAAGGATATTGTGTTGCTGCTGTGTGCCTGTTGAGAGTGTCTCTGGTAACTTATTGGGCAAATTATACACGACTGAACTGAACAAATCAACAAAACACACAGGCACATTTGTGACTGAGCATTTTTCTGGCATAGAATGATAGGCTCGTGCCAAAACACCCCGTCACTATCCACTCAAGTCTAAAACACCATGGCATCCTGTCTTACACCTCTACTATTAATTATGTTGGAATACTTCTTGCCAGTTTCAGTCACACTCTGCCAATTGTTTTCTCTCTCTTTTTCTCAGAGTTGAAATAATTTTTGCTTCAGTAAAAGCAAAACCTCAAACCTGTAACAGTCATTGTGTACAAACGCACCAGTGATGGTGAGAAATTGATCTTACTTCAAAAAACTTGTTAACCTCGTAGTTCGTAGCAAACAATTATTGTTCATTATAAACTGGTAAATAAATTGATTCGTTTAAAAACATTAAACACTTTGGGGTATTTCAGTTTACCTCACTCCACCACAAATCCTTTAAATTTAATTGTATTCAGAATGAAAAATAAGTTATATTTGGTTGCTAAACTGTTATTCATTATGTAAACAAGTTTTATATGAAAACGACCATACTCCCAGTTTTCTGTCTTGCGTTCGATTTGTAAATGAGGCCCAAAGTGTGTGTTAGTAAGTAAGTGTCAGTGTCCAGCTAACGCCCAGAATGAAACACAGAGGACAAGATAGAGCTCTTTCATCTCCAGCGCCAGATGCCGATTAAAGGTGCTCTCTTTGGAGCCACTCTTCCCTGCAGCTCTTTCTGTCACACACTACCAAGACACAAAACTGAGTGTGTGTGTGTGTGTGTGTGTGTGTCAGTGCAAAAGAGAAAGCGAGCGGAAAGAGGATGGCTATAAAAGTATAGGAGATCCATCTTTTTCTGACAGTCTATTTAAAAGGCTACACGCCAAAAGAACAACTATATGCCTAAAAAACCTCAGTCTATTTGCAGCCATACATTTTTATGCCACATAAACATCTTGTCAGCGAAATTGATTTCCAACCTCATCTCAATTTTTGACATAGATGGATGAATTAGTGAGTGAAACGCATACAATTACCTCTTTTAATTGAGTGCTGCTTCGCATTTTAAGTGTGTTTTAAAGAGAATCTCAAGGGTTGCTTGAAGGGTCATTTAAAGGTAAAGAGAGGACTTGTAATATTGCCCTGTTTCCATGACAGTTGTGAATAATGGGTTTTCGCCTGGTCGGAACACTGTTTAGGCTTGAGCGCCCCAAAAGAAGTCAAAGCAAAAGATTACAAATTATTTGGGGCTCATTTTCACCTAAACCAAATGAACGCTTGTGGACTGTTGTATTTATAGTATTGCATTCCAATTTCCTTTAGGATCAGGATAGGATGGTACTGTCTTTCTTAATAAGATAGACAGTCCTATCTTGCTCGTCTTCACAACTGAGGGTGGACATCATGCTCATGGCGGCAAATGAATCACTCACTCAATTTCTTTGTTTAAAAAACACTGATTCATTCTGGATGTGTCTTATCTATTTCAATATACATTATGTTTTGGAGTATTTGCGCAACTTTTTACAATAAGATTCAAGTGTGTCATGGAGTAACAATTGCCAAAATTTCATCCAAGGAAAAAAGTTGGGAAAATGGGAAATGCCCAATATCGCAAAAATTATTGCAAATGGTCAAACAATCTTTTTCCTTTTAACTTTAGTGCATAAATTCTATGTTGATATGAAATATTGTTGAGGAAAATGTGTTAGAAGACACCTTTTGACCTCTCTTTGACTAATGTATTGACCACATTTGCTCGAACAAAATAAAATGAAAAACATTTAGTATTTAATCCCTGTTTTTTTGGCCATATCAAACTCCAATAGGCTTGACATTTTGTTGTCGTTTCCTGATATTTCCTAATTTAATCATAATAAATTATTATGATATTGACTAGTGAGCTGACCATTTTCAGTTGTCCCATTACTCTCTCCGTTCCAGTTGAGGAAATATGGGATGTGAAAAATACATAATTTGTGATATACACAAAATGTATTGAAATTTTATTGGTAATGGCTGATAAAAAACAACCTCCTTGAGACCGCAAATTTCACACACATTTTAACTTTGTCGATAACAGAACTGTGTCAAAAGTGGATGCAGGCTATAAATAACATTTTTATAGAGCATTTATTAATCTAGGTAATGTTCACTGTTCATTCAAGGTTGTTTATTAACTAATGTTAGCTAAAATGTTAGTAAAAATGGTGTAGAAGTATTGTTCATTCATTGTTAGGCCATTACCCAATACATTGAACTAACATTAACAAACTGAACCTTATTGTAAAGTGTTAACAGACTCTTAGTAAGAAAGGTCATCAAATCCTTTAAAACCCACCAATATCTTTAAATATTTCACGAGAACTTCAATATTTTCCATCACAATTTTAAATTTAGTTATTCCTCGCACTCTTCCATTGGCGACAGAAGGGTGTTTAAATTGTTGTTTCATCAGCTAGCTTTCAGAGCTGAAATCGCTGTAGGGTTTGAGTTAATTTGTGGCTCAGTAGAAACATTGTCCTTGCCTGTCAAACTGGCTGTTGCACTGGATGATGCAGCGGAAATTCTGAAGTTACATTTTCCACATCAAGGTCATTCCCGTCTGGGCTTTAATTGACAGTGGGAAGTTTCAAAATAACCCAATAGCCATAGACTTACATTTCTGACAGGCCTAAATCTCTGGAGGGAAGAATCCATCAAATTCACTCAACCCCCTGCTCTAAATTACTTTATAAACATCATTTTGGGTTTCTGTCACAACGTTCGGTGATTAAGTTGCTCCCGCAGCAGATGCACAGAGGAGGGCTGTGACGATACACGTGTGTAGTGCTGGACAGATTCATCCATTCTGTTCCATAGGGAGAGATTGCATCTACTTTAATTATTGACATGGATGCAGTGGTTTGTGTTATCTCTGTGTTACATGGGCCAGATTTGTTTATATTTGAGAGGGCTTCTGTTTGTGTTGACAACATGCAGATGATGAATGGAGATACAACTTCATGTGCAAAACACACACACACACAAAACACACACAATTCAATACATGCCGTTTGCTTATCTGTTGATTGCTTTGTGCATTGATTTGGTACGTATTTAGCTGGGTCTTACATGTCAATAAAAAAAAAACACTTTTATGGTATTACTAATAGAGATTCCCTGCATTATGAAACATTTTATTTTTCTGGGTTTCGTGTGTGTGTGTCTGAGGACACAAGTTCCTGATGCAATCGAGGTAGGAGTCGATGAAACTAGGCTCTCCGTTGAATGACTGTATGATCTAAAACTGAATTTAAGCTCGTGCAAACAGGTGCTTTTAGGGTATGTGGGTGAGCTGGTGTGTAATGTAGTTTATTTATCCTATGTTTAAGATTAAAAGTTCTTTAAAGTGATTTTTTTTTTTATTGAACTTTCCTTTTTACTGTACCTGACACTTATCTTGAGGTATCATATTACATAATTTTGTTTTGGTCTACCCCGTTTTTGCATCAACAATTATAATTTTAAAATTTGAATAGCTTTGAACATGCTGTGTATACTGTTGTTCTCTGCAGTATGTAAATTAATGAGGGTGTGCAATATTGTGGCTCATGTCTGTATGCTTGTGTATAGATGTGGATTGTATTTGAGTCTGAAGCCATCACGTTCTAAAGGAGTCTTAATCTGTTTATTAAGCTTCAATCAACCTCAGGATCTTTAGAGCCTCAGTAATCTGTATCGAAACTCTGCCATAAAAATAGATGGATGACATGGTGCCATATAGCTTAATAAAAAGCACAGTGCTAGAAATGTGCTTGACTAATCAACCTCAAAAGATGTTCTAAAATACCTTGACTTACAAAAGACATATAGGGCCCTATCATACACCCCAAGCACAACGCAAGTGTTTTTTGCTAGTTTCAGTCCGACGCAGTTAACATTTTCACGTCCTGCGCCACATTGTTTAAATAGCAAATGCATTTGCGTGGTCTCTTCAGGCGCATTGTTGGCGTATTGCTATTTTGAGGCAACAGAAATAATTTTTTTTTGTTGTTATTTAAAGAGCACATTAGTAATTTGTGTCTAGGGGGTTTCCAACGCATGTAAACTCTTATTAAAGCGATACACATCAGCACACAAACACCAAATATTTAAAATTAATGGATTACAATGTAAAATATTATTATTGTGTACATAAAGATATGGTGGAATCCGGCTTGTCCCGTAGATGGTGTGCTTGCATTAATCTTGCGCACGAGCAGATCCATTTCCTCTCTGGAGAAGTCTTTCCGCTTGCAAATTCTGCCATGTAAATAGCGAATCTGCCATGGCGTGAGCGCAACTGGCATTTAAAGGGAATGGGAGATGAGATTTAAAGGGAATGGGAGATTGGTTTAACGCACATGTATATCCCAAAACATACCCATTACTCATTAAGAGAATAGGGACAACCGTTTTAGACCATGCACCTGGTGCACTGACCATTTTTCCCATCGATAAACTAGCAAAAGTGGATTTGGACATGCCCTAAGTGAACTTGTGCCTTTCACACCATGCACTTATATCATTAAAATAGGGCCCAAATTTAGGGTGACCAACTGTCTTGTTTTCCCAGGACATGTCCTGTTTTCATATAACAATATAACAATTTTCGGTAACACTTTAGAATACTGTATCTTACTTACTGCAGAATTAATAAGGAATTATTGACGAACTAATAGGTAATTCTTCATTAACTACTTCTTCACTACTGTTAACTACTAAGGAAGATGTGTTAACTAATCAGTATGTAATATAATTTTATGATTGTGTTAAGTATCAGTTAGTTAATCAATAACTAATGAATTCTGTCATACCTCCTGAAGAACTACTATTAATTATCTATTAATTAAGGTTCAAGAAA